AGAGAGAGAGAGAAAGAAGAAGAAGAAAGGAAAGAAAGCATGGGAAAGGACAGCTGTTATTTAGCACAGAGGAGGACCAGGGGTCAGCATTAGTAGCTGGCTGGACTGTGATGTATGCGGCAGCCCCTAACTATGTATGTAGAACAGAACGGGAGCAGCTCTATGGAGTTAGGGATAGCCATCAGTCAACTAGCTGAATTAACTAGCTGGCTGCCTAGACAGTCAGTTCGCTGGGTAACTACATTATACTGACAATTATTATAGCTAACTAGATACTCTGTAACTAACTAGTTATTTACTGCTGGTCCAAGGCTCCCAAGGCACCTCGCCAGCCTCCTGCAGGCATACCATTGTCCCAGCTGCTTGCTCTACAGTGCCCAACCAACTAGTGGCTGTGTGATAGAGAGCTGTTCCGTAAGCCATAGCTATAGCAAATAATATATATATATATATATAACACAGTTATAACCGCTTGTTTGGCCAGCACTCCATCGCTGTATCAAGCTGACGTTGTTTAGTCGGGCCATATTCTTAGAAGCGATCAACTCGAGGGAAGAGGTCTTGGCAAACGTGATCCGAGGGGTCGAACTTCTCAAAGTACAAACTTCACTGTGTTATTTTATTTATACGACAGGACAACGACCAGCCAGCTTCTTGCGCTTCTACCGTCCAGCATAAGAGCCAGCGATACGTTCTTTTATCTCGCCCGTTCACCCAGACCTTCCCGTCACCGATATCCAGCTAGAAACCATGGTTTGTGGACCTGCGCATCCTGCGACCCCTCTTCAGTTCTCCCTACCCCCTATTATCCATAGAGAGCCACCGAGGCCCCTTCGTCAGCTAACAGTTCCTCCTTGACGTATATAGGCCGACTCTTTGACCGAAGAGCAGGTGTCCGAGTACAAGGAGGCCTTCTCCCTGTTCGTAAGTTATTTCTGCTACCCCTTGTTGTTCCTGGAGTGGCCTCGTCCAAGGATGCCCCGCCCTTGAAATGTGCGGACAGATAGCTAACCAAATGTTCCTCCATCGAATAGGATAAAGATGGCGATGGTATGTAGCGAGCTTTTCCGTCTCCAAAACAAATGGAGACTGTAACCTGTTAGTCCTGAAAAAGAGCGTTGACCCATATGTCATGCCCAATAGGCCAAATTACAACCAAGGAGTTGGGAACAGTGATGCGATCTCTGGGCCAGAACCCTTCAGAATCCGAGCTACAAGACATGATCAACGAGGTTGACGCCGACAACAATGGAACTATCGATTTCCCAGGTGCGACTTACTCCAGGGCCCAACAACCCACCCACACAGTTTGCTACAGGCCTAGTCGTTAATATACTCATGGCACAAAGGAATGTTACGCTAATCGTTTTTATGGTACAGAATTCTTGACTATGATGGCCCGAAAAATGAAGGATACCGATTCTGAGGAAGAAATCCGAGAAGCCTTCAAAGTGTTTGATCGTGATAACAACGGTTTCATCTCTGCTGCCGAGCTGCGCCACGTCATGACCTCGATCGGAGAGAAGTTAACTGACGACGAAGTCGATGAGATGATTCGTGAAGCCGATCAGGATGGCGATGGCAGAATTGATTGTAAGTACTCTCACCACTGCTGTGTATTCCCTTTCTTTCTTTCTTTCGGTTTTTCACGGCTGGATTTTGCTAACGGATAGCTGTAGATAACGAATTCGTTCAACTCATGATGCAAAAGTAGGCTCCAAGTTCACATAGCAATCTAATTACTATTCCATAAAGATATCGACAGGGTCATATTTTTACGTTGTCACCAACCTCCCCTTTTTGCTCTTTACGGTTTTGCCTTATCGACTTACCCATCAATGGATGGATGCTGGCAACAACATTGTTTTTAAGGACCTTGGTTATAGTAACCAGTTAATTACTTGTGTCTTGGCCCTTCTTTCAATGTTCATCCTCTATTCTCAGTGGGACAAATATTGGTAAAAAAGGAATTACATAAGATTTCCCAGCTCCTGTGATGTTTAAATGTATATTCACCGAATTCGAATAGGGATACAATTATATTAACGGTCTCTTCAAAATAAGTGCATATATTCCATGCAGTTTGCGGTTACCCAATCATTGGCTTTTGAGAATAAACGTGGCATGCGAATATCGTAACTCTATCGTCATAGATCTCTAATACTATATTTCTATTATATCAAGTCACCGTCAATCCATGTGGATTAGGCAACAGCTATGCCTAGTTTGAAAGTGAATGGACTACCGGTAAAACTTGAAAACATCCATGTACTGCCTCGCAAGGTCAACTCCAACGAGGCTAGCCTTTTTGCGTGCAGTATGAGCCGATGCACCCCCCTTGTCAAAGTATTCCCGCCTCTCAAGGCCTAATCCAGGGACTTGGATTGATTCTGAAGCCCCTGGTATAGAAAAATTATCCCACAACTCACGTATTAGCATCACTCCCAGCTCCCAGTCTTCATCCGTAGGTATAATAACCTCACGGGGTGGATAGTGCGGGAGATGAGGAGCGAAATCCCAATCCTCTCCAGGTTCTCGGGTGAGGTCTGGCTCCGACTGTCTCTGGCCTGGGCCACGGTACTCGATTTCCACGATTGCTCCACGAAGGCGGGGCCTGGGCATTGTCTGACGAACTTCGCCTATCCTGACCCGAAAGTCGCCTACTTCATAGGCTTCTCCAGAGGTGACGACCACGGTATAGCGGTGGTTCCAGAGTGGTTGAAAGAATTTTGTTGTCATGGAAAAAAAGGACAGGTAGGACTGCGGGTCGAATGTCTTTATCACCGTCGTATGAGCTTCATTTTGAGAGGGTGAATTCAACTCTTTGCTATCGGCTGAAGGTTTCGATTGAGAAGACACTCCAGTTGCTGGTATTGGAACAGGTGGCGGTGAGTTCATCTGTTTCTCCATTTCGGCTGGGTCCAGCGGATCAACCTCAGGTCGTGGTGAGATTCGGACGAAGCCATGATTTTGGTAATGGCTAAGCGATAAAAAATGCATATATCGCGGAGTTGGCACTTTATTATGGGGGAAGTTTGCTGCTGGCAGGCACGATGCAGTGTCTCGCACGAGTTTGAATTCTAGAGCCCAACGTCCAAGCCTAGCCGGTTGATGGATTGCTTTGAACCGATCAATCACGGTTCTTGTTGCTGTCGTTGGCAACTCAGGGTTGCTTGGAATATAGTACACTCTAAGTAATAATGAGCTCTTGCTGTTGTCCATGATCTCAAGCGTGGATGGTTTACATACCCAGTTACCGACATTGTTCCCTGAACCAAATCTAACTCCCTCCTATGACAACTTAAAATATAAAAACCCCTGAGCCCAGATTCACAGGCCCGAGAGATTTTTCCTCCCGCACTCACACTGTATCTGGAGTAGAACGTCGTTCCCGGGATTTAGAGAGTAGGAATAACTGATGGGGCTAAGGTGATAAATATGGGTAATCGGAGATTTCTGGGTTTGTCCTATTTCGTAGTGGTCTTGAACAGCACCGACAAGTTAAGATCGGTGCCAGCCTTTGCTCTGGATATTTAAAATCTGTAGTAAGGATACAAAGGGTATGATCCTCCTGGGTATCTGTATTTAGCGGCAGGGCCAGCCAACGCTCGAAATTCGAAGCCGGTCGAATATATATAATTATGACATTATCCAGCGAATCATGAAAAAGACAATGTAGTACTCCGTGAATGGAATAGATTTCTAAATACTCTTGTCACTCATAGATCTTAAATTGTATATGGTATCGAGAATGTAGAGCCGGTGAAGTTGTTAGTTAGCTGCGGTGTGTTCGATGTTGATGGAGCCTTCTTGTCAAGTAGTTAACTAGCTAGTCAAGTTTTAACTCAGAGAAATCCCACTCACGTGATGAGATTCTGACCTCATCCGCTCTGGCCTCCACACGCCAGGACAAACATCAAGCTTGGCTTCTCTTGATTTCAAAAGTAAAGTGCGTGTTGAAGTCACCAGAAGTGGGTAAAGATAACTGTTAACTCACCATAGCATGGACCCAAAGATCCTCTACGGGTGCATCCGAGTTTTGCCAAATCCACTGATCAGATGGCTAACAACAACAATCTGGGGCAGTTCAGACCCTACTAAAATAATACCCTTGTGGCTTATTTCTGAACCAGGGGGGGATGAAAATGGCCGAGCCTGCGAAAGTCAAGGACTATCGTGAATCACTTACACTCTGTATCGGCGTTTCCTCTCTGTCTTGCAACAATTAACTCCGAGTAGTCAACCTACGATCAACGCGGCAGAGGAAGGACGCAAGGATTCGTTCTGGACGCTGGGCGCCGAGGCCGACATCAGATTATAGTTTCCGCATCTCGCGGATCGATACTGACATACAAACATAACTGGTCTTTATTGAGTACGGAGAGGTTATCTGTTCTCTCCGGTTGAAAAAAACAACCATTTTTGTATGCAGAACAACCATGCCGGTATCAAACAAACGGTTTTCAAGCCCATCTTGGTGAAAGGCATGGTGACCAAGTTTTTGTCAAGAGGGAGACAAGGAATACTGACATCGCTGCTATACATGGGGCTGAAAATGCCGCAACTGGCTACTCAACGTCCCAGTTGATCCACCTGAATGCATGCATCATGAGCAGCGAACATTCAAAAGCCAAGATTGACTGAGACTAAATTTTTTTTTAACTTTCTCTTTCTCAATCATTTTCCTCACTTGATTACTCTGAGGACAACAACGGGTAATTCGATGCAAACGGCTGATTCTTTATACGAGGGTCATTGAGTCGTTGTTTGATTCAGGATCATCATGGAGGGCAGCTTTTAAATTGGCAAAGAGGTACAGATACACACAACTCTTTACATTCTGCTCCTAGTAGTATATACAACAAGCACTCCGTAGACGACGAGGTTTGCGAGATCTTAGAATAGAGCTGAGGAACGTAATCTGCCTCTCAACCACTCTCATGATGCCCCTGCTCGGTACCCGACAACGAAAACTACTCCGTACAGGTCCTTTCTGGATCCCACCTCAAAAGAGCCGGGCGGTGGGTTTCCCATCAAGTGGCCCGTAAATGCATATAAACGGGGATGGCTTGGATCTGGAACAGTTTCGCAGAGAGCACGAGCCATGTTCGTGTTTCGGCGCTGTGTCAGCCCAGGATCGGTATCTTGTGGGCAGGGGAGACTGTACGGAGTACTCCGTAGCTCCATAGCCAAATGCGCATTCCCTTTTCTTCTGACTGAAACATGTCTTTCGCCCTGGGCTCCCTTATTCCACTGGAGTACGAGTATCTCTGTATCATCCGCCTCCCTTTCTCCCCTTCGTTCCCTTCCTCCCTCCTCTTCCCCTTTACGTTACACGCTTATATAATCTGATCTAATCTGATCCGCTGATTGATAATGGCGTGACGCCCCTTCGGCACTTCGGCCAATCATAACACGATCTGATATGAAACCGGTGGGCTGACCGTATTGTAATTTACAGAGCGTTACCCAATCAGCTAAGGGGGCAACATCCGCCATTTGAAGTGCATCGAAGGCGCACCTGATGGGCCGCGCAGACGACAAGGGGAGCGACGGCAAGGAGTTCGATCGTGCTAGGCCCGGCTGAACGCAACTGACCCATCACCGTTGACACCAAGGCCGGATGGACCTGCAGCCGACCGCGCCTGTTATCCGAGGGACGGTGTTGCAGGCCGCGACAAGACCCGTAATTATCGTAATTTACGTATCCCGCGTATTTTTCTGGAGTCTCGGCAAGATCTGATTAGGAGCACTTTCTTCTCGGGAGAAAATTCGCCTTCGACGCCCCAGGGCCGCCGACGGTCAGACAGCCAGACAAGAGAAGCAAGCCAGAGGGAAAGAATATAACTCGTCCAAGTCTGCCCCAGGGCTCTCCAGGGCTATCCTCACATTCCAGCGTCACACATGCTGCCTTCCACCTTGTAGGCGATCTTCTGCCATCATCAGATAACCACATTTTCATGCATTCCCCACTTATCTGATCAAAAAAAGTACGGAGAACTGTGTTCTCATTCTGGAGCCCGGTATGCAGCCCCTTGCTATCATAATCCAACCAACCCCGAAATTTCCTCTATAAACATCCATTTCTTTCCGATTTATACTTATATTCGATATCGACATGCTCATACCTGCATTGATGCTGATTGTTGCTCCCTCTACACTAGCTATACCCTTGTTGGAACGTTTTTTCTTTGGCCCTCTGGTTCTCTCACGCAATGACGACTACAATATCATCTCTTCCTGGTGAAGAGCCAGTCCCTATCCCACTAACCTCTACATCGCATCCAAACGATCCTGTCCCCGAAGAGCCTACATCAATACCGCATCTGACCCTCCTACGACGCTCAGCAACGGGTACATCGGACTCGCAGTCAGCAGCAACCTCGGTAGCCGGCGCATCAGAAGTGTCTATAGATTCAGACGTCCCGTTAACACCAATAACAGAACCGTCCAGCGACACGGCGTTGGAAGATACATATGCTGAAGGCAAAGAGTCAGATGGAATAACCCAGCGCCGAAGGCGAGCATCCACAGTATTGATATCTCAGAATTCAGAAGATGTCCAAAGAATATTGGGAGATATCCGCGGCGGAACCAACCTGTTAGGGAAGATATGTTGCGGAGGAGGATGCTGCAAGCTTGAGCCTCTCAAGAATGCTCTACCATCCATCACTTCGAATCCAGTTGTCCGGCCACAGAACGCTGCATTCGAGAGCCTGAGGCTATACGTTGGCGAGCTTTCCCTTGACAGCAAGCTTACCAAGATAGCCCCTCTCCCAGAGAATACTGTATCCTTCTCTTCTCCTTCAATTGATTCTGTAGGAAAGAAACTAGGACCAGCAGATCATCCTCCTCAATTCCTCCAACCACACGCACCCTACGAAGTGTATCGTGCTCCCCTTTACCATGCACGAGAGTTGACGAAACCCGGTGCTGAGAAACGAACTTACCATTTCGATATCGATGTTACAGACTATCCAGTTGAGGGTGGAAATGTCGACTTTGTCGTTGGAGGCGCCATTGGTGTTTGCCCCAGTAACTCTGAGGCTGTCGTTGAAGCCATCTTCAACCGTCTCGGGGTTCCTAAGTTCATACGGGATAAAAAGATCACACTTCACACCACCAAGGGCCGGTGGCCCACGATTTGGGGAGACGAAAAGCCTAGAGATCTCCTAACTACCAGACGTGAACTTCTTAGCTGGTGTTCAGACCTACAGAGCTATCCTCCTACAAAGCCGCTCCTTCGATTGCTCGCAGAGTATGCATCAGATGAGAACGAGAAGAAAATTCTCATGTACCTATGCTCTGCTCAGGGCCAGGCTGCTTTCTGTGACCTCCGTACTGGTCCTTATATCACTGTCTTGCAGCTTCTCGATGCATTCCCTTCCTCTCACCCACCTTTGGACCATCTCCTCTCCACCTTGAACACGCTTATGCCTCGTTTCTACTCGCTCTCCCAGGACCCTATGATTCAACGCACCATTGATGGCAAAGAACCCCGACGAGTTATTGAGATTGCTGTGACTGTTCACGAATGTCTAGACTGGAATGGAGGGTACCGCACAGGAGTTGGATCGGGTTTCTTAGAACGCCTAGCTCGAAAGATTCAGTCAGCTGAAAATGATGGTATCGATCCAGCTAGCTTGAACTTGCACGTCCCCATGTTCCGTGGGCTCATGTCCAATCCACTTGCTAGACGATTTGTCTCTGACGGACCTATGCTCCTCATTGGAGCTGGTGTCGGTGTTGCTCCCTTCCGCGGCTTCGTCCAGAGCCGTCTTAGATCAGCTAACTGTGCCAACAAGGTCTGGGTGCTCCAGGGAGTCCGTGACTCTTTGCTTGACGAACTTTACTCCGGAGAATGGGGAGTTCACGAAGATGAAGTTAAGAAGGTCGTCGAGAGCAGACGAGGTGAAGGCAGATACGTGCAGGAGGAAGTACGCCATCAAGCAGACCTGGTCTGGTTCGTAATCAATTCTCTTGATGGGCGAGTCTTCGTCTGCGGCAGCAGCAAGGGTATGGGCGAAGGTGTCGAGGCTGCCTTGATTGACGTCGCCATTGCAAAGGGCAACTTGAACCCAGAGCAGGCAAGAATATTCTGGGATGAGAAAAAAGCGGCTGGCCAGTACATTGCAGTATGTCTTAGTTCTATTTTCTTTTTCTTATCCTTATTTGAATATGAATCCATACTGACCACCCAAAATAGGAGACTTGGTAAATTGAGCTACACTGAACTTTTCGGGAAAGACTGCCCTCTATCCAACGACCACCCTCTTCGGCGATATTTAGACGAATGACTTCAAAATCTCCTTTTTCATCACCCAGTCTCCTATTTCATACATTCTTCTCTGCGTCCTCGGCATCTCATAGAGTCCATCCCTCATTTTCAACATTTTAATTCGAGGTTATTTTTCTTTTCTTTTCTTTTCTTTTCTTTTTCTTTTTTTTTTTTTTTAGCATAGAATAAACTGTTAGCATTAGGAGCAATCCATTCATTCCTTCATTACATCTCACTTTACAAAAGGTGAACTCCGTATATCCTGTCTAGTCGTAGTCATCTATCCATGCAATCTGTCCTCTCTACAGGATTTGAACGCAGCCACATGAAACAGTTTCACCATATAAGCCGTTCACTGACCTATTAAACTTGGACTATTAGGATTTTTGACCCGTTTTGATGATGGACTGTTACAAGGGGTGCCTGTAGGCAGGGGAGCTCGAGTGTCGGGTTGTACGTAGTCGTTTTCCCAAGGAAAATAATACATGTCATGCTGAGAAATACTGATATCAAGCCGCCTGGATATTGTTAATACTTTTTGGCACTGCCGGCAGCTGTTTACCGTTATTTCTTTCCTGCCAGCAATCAGGGAAGTTGGGGTACAGCATTTCAGGTTTCAGTCAACTGCCCACGGCCAGGAACCAGGAAAAAGAAGACAGATTGCTCTTCTATAGAAGGAAGGAAGAAAAAGTGTTATACAAGTAAAATAGGCATGGCAGGATAGGTACTACCCAGTAGAAGACGATGTTGGTCTGATTTTCCCCTGTCCTGCCCAGTTGTACCCGTTGATATGGAAATCCAACGTACGGGAGCTCCGTAAGACCTGAGGCGCCAGATTTCTGGAACCATTGACTATCACTTTTGAACCATGGAATATGCTGCGCCTGTAGACGCCACAGAATGATCTACAGCGGGGTTGTACAGAGCTCCTCTGTCTCTGTAAAGACCTAGTCTGGCTCCTGATAATGTAGAAGGAGAGGAGTCTTCGACAAGTCACGTCCACCACATAGTGACAAGTATGTTGCCCGTCCCCCCCCTCTCGGCCTAACAGTGGGCTAAGGAGGAACCTGGGTATCAAAAGCCATCGGCGACGGTATCAGGAAAGAGAAAACGAGAAAACGATCTCTGCCATCATTTCTGAGTAATCAAACCAGGAAATGTTATGACATCGAGAGACGATCGCAGCCCTCGGTCTCGACCTGAAGACACTGTACGCCGTGCATAAAGGCTCTGCGAAGAAGTTGGATAACAAAGAAGCCGGTTGCCAATCGAAAATACTGCTAACAAGTTGTCGTATGATAATATGAGATAGAATTTGGAGAGCTTCAGCAATTACCGTCAAAAAGAGCGTTCGTTGGCAGGCGCCCCTGAATAAATTATACCACCATGCGGGCTATTTCCGAGAGCTTCTGTTAGCCAGTCAGGCTTTATTGAGTTACGTATGGCTGGCACTGTAGACGGCCAGATGCCGAGAAAGACAAGCGATTTTTTCAGCTTCTGTCAAGAGTCAAGCGACTTCCCAGGGTCAGTGTCGATGGCAAACTTTGACAACGTAGCATTGATTAAATCCCCGTCGATCAGGCATCCGATCTGTGTCTGTCTTACGTGCGGCCCGTCTATGGGGAAGAGGCTTTCTGGGCTAGCCCATACAGAAGCTTGAACGACAGGTAAATTGTGGCCGGATGGGGAATGAAGTTTGGTTAACATAGTGTATCAAGCACTATTCATACACGATGCGCACGCAGCATGTTTCGGCTGATTTGTTTGTCATGGACAGGAAAAGCTCGATCGAGGTCGCATGACGGAAAGGCGCATGCATATACGGCACAGATACTCTCAACAGACGTTTTCGGGCATCCCACGCAGGAATATATCTATGCATTGCGCTCGAGTCCTACACCCAGCGGTGGCAGGGATGTGGAGTGACACTTTTAGCATGTCGAGTCATCACCCCAGGATCGTGCAATAACATTTCGTACAGCACATCGGCCTTGCACAAACAGCTGGTGGAAGATGACAAAACGCACCTTTACAAGTGCGTGGGGAGGGAGGGGGGCAACTGCTATGTGTGACAACCGCGCATACACGCATCGGCCATCGGGACCTGTGGCGGCGCCCCTTAGAATCCCGAGAGGAGCTTTTCTGTGTCGGTATGTTGAGATAGACTCCGTGCGCCAGGGAGAGGGAGACCAAGGGATCAAATCAGGGATGTATTTGCTTTTTCAAGGCTGGTTTATGATTCGTCACTTTACGTCGTGAAGTCCACGAATCTAGGTCTGCTGGCTCCCCTTTCTTGATATTGTCCACCTTTTCCATCTGCATATGTATACTCCGTACATCAACGATATTTGTTGCTCGCTCCTGTTGCTAGTCAAACGTAACTGAAGGTCTGTGAGAGCAGTTAACCGGTTTGTGACACAAGAGCAACGTTTCCTGGTTTGTCGGCGAAAAGGATTTCCTGGAGACGAGGCGCAAAGACAGTAGGTTGACCTATTGTACCACCATCATGTCGACCTCAGGTGGAACAATGCATAAGACTGATTCGGGCTGGCACCCGGCAAGCGAACGGGCCTGTTCAGGAGAATGAAGTTCGGCAACAATACTCCGCACTTCAGGGGTTCATGAGCAGAGTTCCAACCAAATTGGATAGAGTTATCGGCATTGTATTTTCATTTTCATTTCTTT